GACAGCAGCAATGGCAATGGCGACGCGCAACGTGAGCGCCCATCACGCGGGCGGGCTGTACTTGGTCTCTGTGCGGTTGGTGATGGGGTTGAATAGCCGCTGCTCCTCGCGGAGAATGTCTGTGATGGTGAACCGTTTCCGCTTGCTCAATGGACGGCACTCCTCAATACGCACAACGTCGCCGGGCATCCGACTGTTTGACTCGTCGTGCACCATGTACACCTTCCTCTGTCGCACCATCTGCCAATTGCAGCGTAAGCAGAAACAAACAGTGTGAGCGAGTGTGAGGGAGTGTCAGAGAGGGGTGTCGTGACAATTTATGCGGTTGTGTGTGTGTGTGTGTGTGTGTGTGCATGTGTGCGTGCTTGTGTGTGTGTGTGTGTGTGCACCTAGTGCCAATCACCCCACCAACCAACCTATGTTCACAAGCAACCAAAGCGAATCTCACACACACACAAACACACACACGCACATACACATACACACATACACACACACATACATACACATACATACATACATACATACATACACACACACGCAAATCCAAGTGCAGTGACACGACGAAAGAGGACTGGCAACGCCAAGCACAAGTTGTGAGTCAAGCCAGCGTTCATTGTTGCTCACCTTTTCCACACGAGGGTGTTTGACGAATCGGATCACCTCCACTTTTGCCGTCTTCTGCATCACGCCTGCTGTGGACAGCACACGCCCCACCAACTTCAACCTCATCCTTCCCTTCCTTCCTTCCTTGCTCGTTCAAACGTTGACTGTGTGCGCGCAGATGCGGAGGTGCAGGTGTGCAGGTGTGTGCGTGAGAGAGAGAGAGAGAGAGCAACACGAAACACGAGCACAGAGAGAAATGTGTGTCGACTGAATTCAGTCTCCAGTCAACAACGAACGAACGAACGACAAGCAAAGAAGCAAAAGAGATGAGCAGCAGCAGTGGCAGCGGCGATGCTGGCGGTGGTGGCGGCGAGGAACAGGATGTGGACGCACGCATCGCAGACCTCGAAACAAAGGTGTGTGGGGAGCCATATCTGTGGGGAAGGATTGGGAGATAGAGGGTCATGCACACGAGATTGTGTGGGGGAAGGGAGGGAGAAGAACTGTTGTTTGCTTTGGGTGCATGCTTTGTGGCATGCTTTGTCATGGAGACGGTCAGTGCTCACGAACGCAATGTGTGCTTTGTCTTGGATCGATGCGCAGCTGTTCCACAACGTGTACCAATATGAACTGCACTTGGAATACATCCAATGTCTCAAAGCAAAGGGCAACTTCATGAAGCTCAGGTCCAAAGAAAAAAAAAAAGTTCATGCGTGTGTGTCTGTGTCTATCTGTGTGTGTCTGTCTGTCTGTCTGCCTGTCTGTCTATCTGTGTGTCTGTGCGTGTGTGCCTGTGCCTGTGCCTGTGTCTGTGTCTGCATGAGGCGGTGACGCACGATGCACGCCTTCTTCTTCTTCTCCTCCTCCTCCTCCTCTTCTTCTTCTCGTTGACCTTGCACACGCAGACTGAAGCTCTATTTCTCGATCTCGATCTCGATCTCGATCTCCTTCTCTGTGTGCAGGCATGCGCGTGAACGCTTCAGCAAACACTTCCCTCTGTCCGAAGGTCCGTGCGACGTGCCGTTGATGTGTTTGCGCCTGAGAGCGTGCATGCACGACACTTCATTGCACCTGTGTTGCCGCATTCATCTATGACAACCACACGTGTGTGCACTGGTGCAGATCTGTGGATGCGGTGGATCAAAGACGAGGAGTGCATCGACACCTCGGTCCAGCAGCTGCAGTACCTCAAGGAGCTCTTTGACCGCGCTCACCTCGACTACCTCTGTGAGTGCACTTGTGTGGCTGCGTATGTGTGTGTATGTATGTCTGTCTGTGTCTGTGTGTGTATCACGCTGCGCACACTTCTGCCTCTGCTGGCGTGGCTCGATCGAAGCCTGTATTCACGCGCCCTTACACCTCCATGCACACACACACACACACACACACACACACACACACACACACACACACACACACACACACACACACACACACACACCAGGCCCCGACTTGTGGGTGGAGGAGATTCGCTTCTTCTCGGAGCACTTGAAGGAGCGGAATGCGTTTGGCACCAAGCCCGACGACGATGATGACGAGGATGACAGCAGCGATGATGACGACGATGACGATGATGAGGAGATGGACGTGAAGGAGGACAAGAAGAAGAGCAAGACACTGGGTGAGACGAGCGGCAAAGGGGGAGAAAGGGATGAGTGCGTGCGTGCGTCATCACCTGAGCTTGCCCATCGCCCCTCTCTCACCATCCTCCTGTGCGTGTGATTGCGTGATTGTGCGGGCTTGCAGTGACAATTCAGTTTGTCCGTGACATTTGTGAGCAAGCGGTTGCGGCGTGTGCACAGCACTTCAACAAGGTGAGCATGGGTGCTTGTGTCTGCGTATGTACGTGTACGTGGCGATGTTTGTCTCTTCATACCAAAGCTCTGTCTCATTCCTCCTTCTGTCCCGTGCACACACACACATACACACATGCACACACATACATACACACGCACACACCCCAGATAGGCGACGTGTTTGATCAATACGAACTCTTTGAGGTCTCCGTCCTCGAATTCCTCGCAGTCAGTCCATGCGATGCTGTGCGTGTGTCTGTCTGTGTGTCTGTCTGTCTGTCCTGTGTTTGTGTGTGCGTGTGTTTATAGAAAGGTGAATTTCGTCCCACTTGGACTCACCATCACCGCCACCACCACCGCCACCGCCAGGGCCGCGGGGACAGCGATGGCCTCGAGGAAGAGAAGCGGCGTATCAGCTCTCTGCACCGCCGCCGCCTGAACATTCCCCAGCGCAACGCTGGCACAGGCTGGCAGTCGTACCTGCAATGGTACGGTGGTAGCAGTGATGATGGTGGTGGCGGTAGTGCCAGTTGGAGCAAGGAAATTCGTCCACTTACCCACTCGCTCACTCCCATTCACCTTCACTCACATACTCGCGTCACGTTCACTTGCGCGCGCGCACACCCTTGCACCATACACGCCGCACACACACACACATACACACACACACACACACACACACACACACGCACTCACACCATCAGGATGACTGCGCAAGGGCTGGACACGGAAGAAAAGGCGGAGAAGCGATTTCTGGCCGCACGCGAGCGCTCAAAGAAGTGCGAGGAGCTTGAGGCAACGCTCGCAACAGGTGCAAACAACATCACCGCCCTGCTTGCTTGCTCGCACCATTCGCGAGATGTGCCGTGTGTGTGTGTGTGTGTGTGTGTGTGTGTGTGTGTGTGTGCAAAGAAGGTCCTATACGCACAGATTTACGTGTGCTTTCACAGATGCGTATCAGGTGTGACTCTTCCCGTGCACACGCTCCCTCTTGCTTCGTTCACACATGTCCGCGGCAACCTCCCTTCATCAGAGGATGCAAGCGAGCGGCGCGCTGCGTATCTGCGCTACATCGACGAGGAGAAGAAGACGAGTGCAGAGCGCGCCGCAACCCTCTATGAGCGCGCAGTCACAGCATCGCCCCTCGACCCAGGCTTGTGGGCAGACTACCTCCTCTACCTGGTGAGCACAACATTTCAGGTGGTGGGTATTGTGATTGGTTGTTGGGGATGAGCCTCAATCGACAGTCAAGGCATTCAGCGCACACTAATACACGCACGCACACACACACACACACACACACGTACACACACACGTACACACACGTGTCATTGCACTCACACACATACACACACACACGTGTGTCATTGCACTCACTCACACTGACGCCCCCCCCCCCTCTCCTTGCTCCCAGGCGACGACGGGCAAGGCGGCGACGAAGCAGCCGCTGTCGTCAGCAGCACCGCGACGCGCTGTGCGCAACTGCCCCTGGTCGAGTGCGCTGTGGAAACACCTGCTCGCCCACGAGGAGCGACGAGGAAGCGAGTACAACACCGTGAAGGGCGTATTGGAGGAGGCACTGCAGATGCCGTTTCAAGCGCCAGGTAGGCGGGGGATGTGGGGGATGGATTGATGTGGACGGGGTGAGAGTGGAAGTGATAGATGAGGTGGATGCAGTGAGAGTGGAGAATGAGAAGGAAGGGAAGGGGCTGCCGCTGCTGGTGTGCTGGCTCGCAGTTACAAACGCAAACATGCCTGGTTGTTTGGTCTGTTGACACGCTCACGAAGCCACTGGCACACGCAAACTTACACACATGCATGAACACCCAAACACACAACGCAACACACACGTGCGCGCATACACGTCTTGTTGCGCTCACACGCCACCTCCCTCCTCCCCCCACCTCGTCTCCAGACGACTATGTGCAGGTGTGGCTGGCGTTCTGCCAGTACTGCTTTCGGCGCACGCAGCTTGAAGGCGTTGCGCCGACACACGAGGGGGAGGACGCGCTCGAAACGTGGCGGCTCACCGTTGGCGGAGCAAAGGAGTACACCGAGCAGTATCTCAGCAAGGAGACACCAGGATACGCTTCCCTCTGCCTTTATGAGGTGTGTCTGAGTCTGTGCACGTGTGTCTGTGTACGTGTCTGTGTACATGGTTGTGTACGTCTGTCTGTGTGTCTGTCTTGTCTGTTGTCTTGTCTGTCTCTGTGTATGCAATACCTTGTAGTTGTGCTCTCACGTTTGCCTGTTTAACACATGTGACCATGCCATTCATGCCATGCCTCATTGTTCCGACCGCACTCACCCCATCCCTCCCCTCACATCCACCCCACCAGGCGAAGACAGAGGCGCTTCGCTTTGACAATCTGACGCGCGCACGCGAAGTCATGGAGGACCTCGTGCGCACGGGTTCATTCGGCAAGCAGGTGCTCCCATCATGCGATGAGGAGGGGCCGGGCGTTGTCTGGGAACCTGTGTGACTCTATGTGTGTCCGTGCGTTGAAGGTGTTGATGTCACAAACACACAGGCACACACACACACACACAGACAGATACAAGTTCGCCGTACTGATTCTCCTTCTTCTTCCCAACACGACCCCTTCCAAATTTCACCACCGCCACGCCAGCTTGCGACTTGGCTGCCCTTCTTCCACTTTGAGCGCATCTCCAGTGGCATCGACAGCGCGCGTGCCGTGCTGCGGCGCGCCGTGCAGTTTGTGCGCGACCAGCCCGAGGCCATCGTGGACACATACACGCGCTTTGAGGAGGAGAATGGCAGCCTTGCTGATGTGGACGATGCGGCGAGGCGCTGCTACCAGGCCCTTCAACTCGCAGCCGCTGCCCGCGCAAAGGTCCGCACAGTGAAGTGTGTGTGTGCGTGCGTGTGTGTGCGTGCGTGGGTGCGTGTGTGTACGTGTGGGTGTGTGTACGTGTGGGTGCGTGTACGTGTGTGTGTGTGCGTGTGTGTACGTGTGTGTGTGTGTACGTGTGTGTGTGTGTGCGTGTGTGTGTGTGTGCGTGTGTGTACGTGTGGGTGCGTGTACGTGTGGGTGTGTGTGAGTGAGTGTGCGTGCGTGTGTACGTGTGTGTCTGTGTGTGTTTCCGCCTTTGTACGTGTGCGTGTGTCCTACTCATGCTGCTCCCGCTGCTTGGTTTTGGCGTCCCACGACACACGCGGCCACGACTGCGTATAGGCCGAGAGCAAGCGGGGAAAGAAGGCACCGGCAGCGCAACAGCAGAACAAGCGGAAACAGCAGAGGGAGAAGGACAAACCGCGAGGGAAGCGGCGACAAGAGGAGCGAGGTGGCGCAACACCAGCAGACGATGCGAGCAGGCACAACGCCGCGCACGCGCGCACCAAACACGATGCGTCATCGTCAGCATCAGCACCAGGGACGAGAGCCGGTGATGATGACACGGGGGCCGGGCCATCGATGAAGCGCGCAAAGATGGATAGCCAGGCACCAGCGTCGGCACACGGGCACCATGACGGTGACAACTACGGTGGTCATGGTGATGGTGATGGTGAGCGGCGCGGGTTTGATGTGGAGGCAGCGCAACGAACCGTCTTCGTCAAGAACCTCGACTTTGCCGTGCGTATTCGAGATGGGGGAGTGGGAGGTCTGTTGAGTACTGATTCTTCTGGTGTGTGTGTGTGTGTGTGTGTGTGCGCGTGTGTGTGTGTGCGTGTGTGTGTGTGTGTGTCGTTTCTGTTGCGCAGTGGTTGTTTCAACCCAAAGATTGCTGCTCACGTGCTTCGCTCTGGTCGTCGCAGGTGGACGAAGACATGCTGCAAATGTTCTTCAAAGACGTGGGTTGCGCAACAAAGAGCATTGCGTACTGATATCAGTCGCTGCGGTTCCGTGCTTGGTTTGTGTTTTTGACGGTTGCTTGCTTGTTGGCTCATTTGGTCTGCTGGTTGATTGGCTGTTTGGTTGATTGGTCCTCCCTATTCTTCGTTCCCTTTGCACCTCCGCCATGTCCATCGCCCACCAGCTCAACCGCATTCGCCCTCTTCCTCCTGTGTGTGTCTGTGTGTGTGTGTGTGTGTGTGTGTGTGTCTGTGTCTGTGTCTGTGTGTGTGTGTGTGTCTGTGTGTGTGTGTGTGTGTGTGTGTGTGTGTGTGTGGTCGTGATTGTGCTGTGCAGTGCGGGGCCATCCGGGACATTCGTCTCGTGCGCAAGCCGTCTGGCCAATCGAAAGGATTTGCCTACATCGAATTTGAAGAGGTGATCATCGCACGCATGCACACTTGCTGCCTTTCTGCCTGCTGAATCTGCTGAGACACACACACACGTGTACACATGGACATACACCCCATTTCCGAACAGCACACGGCTTAATGACCATGTCAACCTCCTCCTCCCCCCCCCCGCCCCGGGCGTTATCCTACATGTACATGTGCGCTTTGCTGCGTCTTGTTGTTGCAGAAATCGTCACTCGCGTTTGCGCTGAGCAAAGACCGGCAGTTCATGAACGGTCGTCCTGTGCTCGTTGACCCATGGTCCGTGCTGATGATGATGATGGTGATGATGATGATGATGATGATGATGATGATGATGATAATGGTCATGGTGGTGGTTGATGATAATGGTGGTGGTAGTGATGATGGTGATGGTGATGCACGTGTTTGAAGCGCGCCTTTCATCATTGCGCGGCTGTCCTGACTTTCTTGTCCGTTTGATTCCCGTTGATGGTGTCATGGATTGATCCCGCAACGTCCACCCCTCAACCACAGCCATCATTCTCACCACCACCACCATTCTCGCCACCATCACTGCCACCACCACCACCACCACCATTCTCACCACCCGTGCAGTGTTGACCGCAGCAAGACGGCCCTGCGGCCCAAACACCAGACGGGATTTGACCCGCGCACCGTCTTTGTCAAGCGTCTCGACCACTCCTGTACAGAGCAGGACGTGCGCACCCTCTTTGAACAGGTGCGCCTTCCTTGGCGCGGGTTGGCGCAGTGTGTGCCTGTCTGTGTGTCTGTGTGTCTGTGTGCCTGTGTGTCTGTGTGTCTGTGTCTGTGTGTCTGTCTGCCTGCATGCCTGCCTGTGTGACTGTGCATCTCTTCGTGACTATGTACATGCACCTCGCTCCCTCCCCCACCATCCCCTCATTCTGCACCCGCACCCCTCTTCCATCACCACCAGTACGGTGCAGTGAAGGAGGTGCGCATGGTGACGACGCTGGCAGGCAAACCGCGCGGATTTGCATATGTTGAGGTGAGCGCGCGAGCACACACGTGCAGCTGACTTGCCTGCAAACACAGCAACATGTGCCAACGTGCCAGCGAACCCTTCTACAATATATCGATGATCTCATCACCTCACATTCGCTGTGTGCGTGTGTGTGTGTGTGTGTGTGTGTGTCTGTGTGTGTGCGTGTGTGTGTGCCTGTCTCTGTGTGTGCGTGTGCGTGTGTGTGCGTGTGCTGTGTGTGTGTGTGTGTGTGTGTGTGTGTGTGTGTGTGTGTGTGTGTGTGTGTGTGTGTGTGTGTGTGTGTGTGTGTGTGTGTGGTGCTCGCGGCCTCGTTCTGCAGTTTGAGGCGAGCCGTGACGCCGCCACAGCCATCATGAACCTTGACAAGGCAGAGTTCAAAGGTATGCGTGTGGACATGTGTGTGTGTGTATCTGCACATGCGTTTGGCGTTCGCACACCTCCCTCTCCCTGCGTCAGTCGATCCCCTTGTGTGTCTGTATGTATGATAACCACCACCACCACCACCCTACCACCACTGCCACCTCACCACCACCACCACCACCATCATCATCATCACCACCGCCACCACTGCCACAGGCCGCCAGCTGCAAGTTGCACTGTCCAACCCGCCGTCCAAAGGGCATGCAGGAGAGGGCGAGCGTGGACCGCCACAACGCGATCACAGGGGACAAGGTGCAGCCACAGCCATGGGAGGCATGCAGCCCCGTGCACTTCGTGCAAGGTAAGGCCAACACGGCAGCGCCCCACCTTGAGTTTGTCGCACCTTCTTGCACACACACACACACGCACACGCACACATGTGCACACACACACACACACACACACACACACACACACACACACACGCACACGCACACACACACACACACGCACACACGTACACATGTGTCCACACACACACACACACACATACACACACCATATGCACAGCACGCACACACACGCGCGCACGTTCAGCCTCTCCTTCCCCTCCCCCTCCCTCTTGTTGTCGTTTTTCGCTCCTGTGCTCGCAGCCGGAAGCAAGGGCGCGGGCGTGGCGGACGCATGACGCTCATGACATCCAGCGCCTCGGGCACCCGCGCTACACCCACCCCTGCGACTGCGACTACAACTTCAGCAACGTCTGCTGAGGGCGCCACCTCGACAACGACAACGACAGCTGGTGATACTGCTGCTACTGCTGCTGCTGCCCCCAAACCCAAGTCCAACGCAGACTTCTTGGCCATGATGATGCAGGGCAAGAAGAAATGACGGGGGATATGGTCACACATTGTGTGTGTGTCGATGTGTGTGCATGTGTTTGTGTTTGTGCATCTGTGTGTTTATCTGTGTGTGTGTGTGTGTGTATGTGTGTTTGTGTGTCGGTTTACTCATCGACATCGTACACCATTCCCAACGAAGGCAATCAAGGCAAGAAAGCAACAGTGTGACAATGAACGCTTGACACGTGCACGAGTGGCTGGGTGAATTTCATCGGCCAGAACACTGCAACCAAAACAACGTTGTTTCGATGACATCATTAATTTGTTATCCGCACGCCACGCCCCCCTTTTGTTGTAGTGCACAACAACTCAGCACACAACAACTCAGCACGCGCACTCACGCACATGCATGCGTACTGACCCTTGTGCAAAACACCATTTTCCTCTCGTTCTCAACAACCAGTGGACCCTGGTACTTGTTTTAACCTATCATCTTCCCGTCTCCCAGCTTACCCTCAAGATGCTCGACGGTGTTCAGAGGCCGCGCCTGATTGGCGCTGCAATTGGCTTTGCTTTCATGTTCATCGGCTCCTGCCTGCTGTGGAACCTGTACGCGGACCTGGGACTCCCCATGGACTCAGAGGCCGCCATCAACTACTACATCTTCGTGCTCTGGCTGCTTGGTGCTCTTTGTATCTTCGCTGTCATCAAGCTCGAGGCCGCCGCCAAGCACAACGCCATGATCATCGCCGCCTACGCTATCTTTGCCAGCTTCTTCACTGGCAACGGCAATCCTGCCGGCATCCCCACCGCTTTCTCCGTCCTCAACCTCGTACGTGCCCCAAAGGCCTGCACCACTCCTGCACTGTGCTTCGCTCGCATCGCCGCTGCCCGCACTGCTGCTGCTCCGCCCTGTCGTTGTGCACGTGGAGGTGCATGCGATGACTTCTTCACCATTTTGACCATCATATCCTTTCACTTCAAACGAGATCTCACTCACGTCTCGCATCACACTTCATGCGCGCCTACCTCCTCCTGCTACAGCTCCGCGATCAGCTTTCCCCCAGGCCTTCTCTGGCGGTCTGCTGGCCATTTCTGGCATGGTTCTCAGCCTTGTCAGCGCCTCTGCCCGCATGAACATCACTGACAGCGGCAAGATTATCAA